AGAGAGAGAGAGAGAGAGAGAGAGAGAGAGAGAGAGAGAGAGAGAGAGAGAGAGATTTGCTATTTGAGACTTGACGACATTTGGATTCAGACTCGACATTGGACGAGGGATTATTTGGGGCCTGTATCGAAGACTTGGTGTTGACGACATTCCCATCTTCCCCCTCTTCTTCGTCTGATCCCCCTCCTCTTGTTCTGTGTATGGTTGGGGACTGGCTCATTCTTCCTGTGTGAGAGCCAGGCGCCTTCACACCATGTGATGATGATGATGTATGTTTGGTCTGCATTGATAAGCCTTCCGCTGCGCTATCCTGTACTATGTGAGAGAGGTCGGTTCTTGTTCTTGTCTGTACCATTATGGTATGCGACACCATGCCCTGTGATGGACCACCCTATTGCATGTCTGGGTGCTGCTAGCAAGCCTCCCGGCCAATAGGGTGATCCACCGCGAAGGGACAAAGGCTTGGGGTCGGAAGTACAGAAGCAGCCCCCCCTTGCTTAGGCGGCTAGCGCCACGAGGGTCGGGCTGATCTTTTTTTTCTTGTCTTTTCTTCTATTGTCTTTGTAAAAACACGCTTGCCGGGGATAAGTAACCGGACTGGTGCCCCCCAGAATAGAAGGGGCTTGTGTAGTTTCTGAAAAAAAAAAGAGAAAAAAAAAGGAATGTCAGGCCATAAGGGCCTTCCCAGCAGACAGCAGAACCATTCACAGAATGTCAGGCCATAAGGGCCCTCCCAGCAGACAGCAGAGGGCCGATAGACCCTGGGCTCAGGCCCATAGGAGTAGAGACTGGTCAGGTCAGGGGTTGGGCCTGGTCAGACTTTCTGGGACCCGGTAGACTATGGCCTTATCCGGACGGCTCTGGACAGCAATACCTGCTGGTTGAACAGAAGACCGGCCAAAGCATTGTCCAGGCAGGTCATAGTCATGTTGTCGGAGGAAGTTTGGCTGACAGACCGCTGAGTGCTCATTGTGAACTGTGCTTCCAGGAGCTGAAGCTGGTTTGTGAGAGAATACCAGCACCAGTCATAGCTGGAGAGAGAGAGAGAGAGAGAGAGAGAGAGAGAGAGAGAGAGAGAGAGAGAGAGAGAGAGAGAGAGAGAGAGAGAGAGAGAGAGAAATAATGCCACCGCCTTCGGGTTTGGGCGTTGTGAAGGATGTTGCCAGACTGTTTAAGTGCCGAACTGACCGACACTCGCACGGAAAGAGCAGCTTCCACTGTCAGACAGTGGCAGCCATGGCTGAGCTGAGGAAAAAGACCGGCGCCATAGCCAGGTTAGGCGTTGAGGAGGTAAAGGAGGTGGCACTATAAAGGGAGATCTTGGAGGAAGGGGAAGGCGGTGGAGGACTTGGAGAGGGACTTACCTGGCAGACACCAAGAAGTTCTCGAGCATGACATGTTCTTTGACCATGCACCCACGGGAGATGCACAGAACTCTGCGGCACTGTCTGCGAAGCATTATAGGCTAAGGGTAGATGGTAGAGTAGGCGGTCATACCTGCTGGTAAAGAGACCAGCAAGGGCTGAGTACTGTTGTTATTGTATTGATTGTTGGGAGGCGAGAAGGGAGCTGTTCCTCATCTCCAAAGACACTAATGGTTAATAGGTGGTGTCGTTTTCGGCTAATTTTTCACCGAACCTGCCATATTTCCCTGAAAATTTGCTTTTTTCTTCTTTTTTTGTGTGTGTAATATGTATGTGCTTTAGGGTATATCTGTATTCAGTTTCGATGTATTTGGACCAGTAACGAAAAAGTTGGCAAGAGCACTGAATTCCGAAAAAAATTGAATAGAATAAATAATTCATATCATAAAATAAAAACGGAAATTAATTAAAAATCTAATATAACTAGGGAGATATCCCGGGCGCCCGGGTCCCGATGTCACGCCCGGATTGGCGACCGGGTGACCGGCCGGGCATGACCCCCGGGCATGGCCCCGGGCAGCCTCAGCGCAAAAAAAGAAAAAGGAAAAAAAAAAAAAATCAAAATCCAAAAAAATCTGAAAAAAAAATATGTTGTGTAGAATTGCAATACAAACAGCTTTTGGCTGAGGGTCACATCAGAATTCCTCACAGAACTGAAGATAAAAAAGAAAATAACCATATCACACTAAGGCACCCCCCTTTAAACCCCTTTAGCCCCTTTAAAATTCATTTACACTCCCCTTTACCCCCCTTGACAGCCAACACTCAAAAAAAGAAAACTGCCCGGATTTGGGCTCCTCTCAGAGAGCGCAGAAAAACCCCACCGCCATTTTTATTTTTATTTTTTTATTTTTTTTTTTGCCATGACCGGGTCACCCGGGCGTCAGACCCCCCCGGGCGTCATGCCCGGGTGACCGGCCGGTCATGAAAATCTTCCTAGTAATGTAATCAATATTGTTATTCAATTCAGAAAAATCAATAATAAATAAGAAATCATAACAAACAAATTGATATCCATTTCATACAATAGAAGAGACAATAAAGAATTTGGCGAATTCTGAAAGCTACTCCGAATAGGGTCTTATACTACTTTTTCGTTTTTTTTTTCGTTTTTTTTTTCGTTTTTTTTTCACTTTTTTTTCCGTTTTTTTTTTCGTTTTTTTTTTCCCTGTTTGTTTTTTTTATGTTTCTATTATGAGCCTGCATTGTTTGTTAGCGAAATTTTTGACGACCTTGTTTGTGCCACTTTGTGGTGATGCGGCAAAAAACCCCGAATTTTGGGCCTTCCATGAATCTCTCATCAAAGAGACCTCAAACAGCTGAAAACGTCCACAGCAGAGCATGCCTGTGAAATACTGCAGGTTTAAGGGGTTCATAGAGCTATCATTTCCACATAGCCAGCACTCACCTGTTGGAGTCTGAGCTCAAACATTCCGATGTTGGCACCAGCATTAACAATGATATCATTGGCCTGCAGTTCCACACCCTCCTGAAAATAGATGTCTGCCTGCCAAGTTCCACAGTGAGCTTTGGAGTCTCGACTACCTTCTCCAATGAAAGGAACACAGTTCAAGAAGGACTTGGCAGGAATCAAAGACCAAAAGTACTCATTACCAAAACCATCATCACCAAGAATCGCAGGCAAGAACCATAAGTAGCACTCAACCAGTCTTGCAGGAGATACCAAAGTGCAGCTGTTACATACTCGGTTGAGCAAATGAACCAAGAGCCAAGGATCTGCAAAGTGATGAAAAGGACAGAAATGGACAATGCAGTGTGAACGAAACTCAACAAGCAATGTTCATCCTGATATATGCAAAACGGTAGTTTGAAACACAGCGAGAGACTGGGATCTAAGTCCTAACTAGACTAGGACCAACATGACATTTCATGGTACAGCATGCATGTAAGAAGAGGAGGGACACCAAACTGTTGGACGCCGTAAGCGTGCTGAACAGAAAAAGAACCGACCTTTCTCACACAGTATCAGATAGCGCAGCGGAATGCTAGAATACCAATGCTCAACCCATCAATGTCGAAGTTCAGACTCAGCGTTCCACATCATCGTTGTGAGGTGTGATAGGCCTGGCGCCATACACAGAAGTGTGCCAGGTCCCAACCATACACAGACGAAGAGGGGGAGGAGCAGACGAAGAAGAAGAGGGGATGGAAATGTAGTCCACACCAAGTCTTTGACACAAGTCCCAAATAAGCCCTCGTCGAATGTCTGAATCCAATGACGAGTCTGAATCCAATGTCGTCAAGTCTCACAGTCACAATCTCTCCCGTAGGCTGCAGATGCTGAGGAGCCAGGTAGCGAGAGGGTGAAGAAGAGATGGTGGACTTAGAAGAGGAAGAAGAAGAACTCTCTCTCTCTCTCTCTCAGTCCAGTACTAACCTGTGATGTTGGCGCTGTGATGCAGGTACCTCGAAGMTGAAGCTGAAGCTATGGCGCCACAGGTAAGTCTCMCTGGCCTCCGCCAGCCATCTCCAACTCCAACACTACTCTACTCCTACCTGCGCCCAGCGCTGAAGACTACAGCCTACCTACTAGCGCCCAGCGCTGAAGACTACTGCTAACGCTGCCTCCTGCAGCGCTCCTGAAGACTACTCCTGAATCCTGAAGACTACAACTGACAACTGATACCCTCCCCCTGCCTGTAGGGCGGGCCAGTCTTATATAGTGCTGGCCCATCCAGGAGGCTGCTCTTGCCAATGCCCAAACGTGCTAGACCCTGAGGAAGCTTCCGGGAAGTTTCCAGGTAGCTTCTGGCTGAAGCCTGAGGAAGTTTCCGGAAAGTTCCCAGGTAGCTTCTGGCTAAAGCCTGAGGGCCTATAGGCCCTTGTTTTCAGGCTGTCAAGCTGAAACGCCACGGGGCCTGTAAGCCCTGGATTTCAGGCTTTCGGCCTGAAACAG